GCTCAGCCGGGGGTCTGCTTGAGATTTTCTCCCTCTCCCTCTGCCTCTGCCCCAACTTGCACGTGTATGTGCGCGCTCTCAAATAAATAAATCTTAAAAAAAAAAAAAAAAGAAATCTAGCATACAGCATGTGTTCAATAAGGAGTCACTAACAATGGCAGCAATCTCAACAGCAAAAATGGATCTTTTTGGTAGTCCACATCCCAAGAAACCCAAGAAAACTGGTCTCCAAGAGCTATTTTCCTAAATTTCTCCAAGAACAAAGTATATATAAAAAATTTTAAAGGTTTTAAGATGAGAGTGAAGAGGAAATTAGCCATTTACTTTGTGAACTTTCAATTCTAAATTAGTCATCCTGCTTGTAAAATACCAGGTTTTTGTTCTCTGGAATAAAACCTTGAGCAAAAGATGGATTTCATATTCTAGTGTAGGTATGGGAGAGCGGGGCCCAAACTCACAGGTGCTGCGTTTCTGATTCCAAAGGCTCTCTCTGACTGATATTTCAACTTGTGACGAGCGCAAGCCGCCAATCCAGAGTCCTTTCACGTTCATATTTAGGGAATGATTATCATAGGAGACATTACCAATTATTGTCCAGCGTGATGTAAGCTGAGGCAGCAGCGCCAAGCAAGTGTCCTTGTCAAACACATTCCAGCCTTCTGGATTACTTCACTCACATCCCCCTGATTAGGATGCATGCCGCGTGCTGCTTAATACGATCTGCCACCGAATGCCAAGTACTTCAGAACTAAATTAGGAAATATGTCCAAATACATAGAATGATGCTAACAGCCCTAAGTGGGTCTCTCTCTTTCCTTTATGAGGCATGAGACTCATCATCAACATAATGCTCTTAAATGAGGCAATTCTATCTTCTAACCCTCTACCTCTGAGAGCAAAATTTAATTCAAGCAGCAAAAGAATTAATAAAGATAATACGGTATCATAAATACCATTTTCATGGATGAAGTGTTTTTGACAGATTCAGGAAATGTGAGACATAAAAACACATTTTAGAGGGTTGGTAACAGAGCTGACATGGATTTCTGCACTGCAGCACAATGGAGACCAGAGTAATTGCAATTACATTTGCTTTCCCTCACCATCACATGCCACTTAGCAATGGCCACCCTTCAGGTTATTTATGCCACTGAAGCCAAGAGCCCAAGAAGGCAATATTAACACTCTGGAGCCTGTAAGTTGGGATCCCTGCATACAGGCAAATCAAGAGGTACCAGAGCTTTCTCTTTGATCCTTCCTGAGCTGGAAACAGCTGAACCACCAGCTGTATTTACAAGCCTTTTCTTAAGACTAAATACATTTCTTTTCTTTTTTGAGAGAGAGAGAGAGAGAGAGAGAGAGAGAGAGAGAGAGAGAGAGAGAAAGCATGCGTCCACATGTGAGGCAGGGGAGGGGCAGAGAGGCCGGGAGAGAGAAAATCATAAGCAGGCTCCATGCCCAGCACGGAGCCTGATGCGGGGCTTGATCTCACAACCCTGAGTTCATGACCTGAGCGGAAATCAAGAGTCAGATGCTCAACCAATTGAACCACCCAGGTGCCCTGAGATTAAATACATTTGTGCTATGTTCCTTGGTTTCAATTCCTTAGGAGACTATGTGTATTAACAGGGCTAGGTTCTAGAAGTGCCAATTTGCTGAAGCCTGTGTGGAATGCTGTTGTTAACAGTCCAATGCCAGGAACGCAACTGGTGTTCTGTAACTCTGCGCCCAACGTGCGTCCGGCTGGCTAGCTAGATGTCTGAACGGATGGATCTGAACCCATCATTACCTGATGCTCACATAGCTGTGGTGCCTATAAAATGCTAATGTGATCATCATATGGTGCAAGGATATTCTCCAACTGAACACAAATAACACCGCTGGGATACTTCCACAGGTTGGGGAAACTCTGGTCGCTGACTCAAATTCTGTATCAACATTTGGACTTCACTATCTGCTTTGATCACAGTTAGTCAGTAACGGATTATAACTAAACCTCAGTTCTGTATCAATACAAATGAAGATTGAAACCAAACTCTGTTCTCATGAAGCCTTCATCTGAGTCCTAAATACACAGGCCAGAGGCACAGACACAAACCCCCGCGTGGATACAGCTGCAGGCAGACTCTCCTGCTAACAGTCTCAGACTAACCTAATAAAACATGTTGGGCCACGTGCTGCCGGGCCAAGGCAGATAGAGCCAAAACATGGTATTCACCAGCACAGTGATGCTGAGCACCACACATGAGACTGTTTGGGAATTATAATATTACGTTATAGGACAGCAGGATGATACTAAAATCTTACAGCCACCCACGGCATGGCTTAATTCACCCAGAAATGTTACGGGACAATTACATTTCCTAAAAATGCAGGTTTTTCTCAAACAAGCAGAGAATCCATTGAACACAATCAGATGGAAAGTGCTGCCTCCTCAAAACTGAGGAAAGTTTCACAGACATAGCTTGGCTTCCCTCACGTGCCAGTGGGTGGCATTCATGTTGGAGAAACATCTCAATGCAAAGTTATTACCGCACTACTAACAACCACCAGCTATCCACCCGCACAACTATTGGAGGGTTTGGAGTTGCACTCACAAAATATTTGGATGACTAATGGTACCATCAGATTCAAAGAGATCATGAAACACATTCTTGTAGCAAATTAACTTCCACTCTTCATTCTAAAACACCAATGAAAATTGCCAGGTAATGACTTATTTGAGGGACTATAAACTTTTAAAAGTGAATTTTCATAAAATCAGTGGGTTAATCAGCCGGTTCTAATAATTAGTGCTTTTATTTTATTTTTTAGATTTATTTGAGAGAGAGACAGAGATAGTGACAGAGATAGCAAGAGAGAGTGAGAGAGAGAAAGCGAGAGAGCACACAAGCGGGGAGGAGGAGGAGAAGCAGGCTCCCCGCTGAGCAGGAAGCCTGATATGGGGCTGATCCCTGGGATCATGACCCAAGCCAAAGGCAGATGCTCAACTGAGCCACGCAGGTGCCCCTAATTAGTGCTTTTAATTGGGTTGGAAAACCTAAGACATCCAAAACGGCACTTCCTTGGGTCAATATCCAAAGGATGCACCCAGTCTAACTTTGTGCTGAACTATCCCTTGACTGGTTTCTCAAATACATCCACTCAGGTAAGTCAAAGAGAAAGAGGGCCTGCCTATGAAAAATTTATTAAAATAGGACAAATTTAAGCCAGGCTAGCGCTAAACATAACTATCACCTCACTACACTGAGAACTTGAGACATGAAGGAGATAACCAAAACATGAAAGTACGATGGATGAAAACTTAGATAGCAAAACAGTCTCTCTTCTCTCAACAAATGAGCTCACTGGGGACCAGAAAAGGTTTTCTCAAAGCCCAAGAAAGGAAACTGCCTTAGGAAACCAACGGCTCTCCCCTGCCCCACCACCCAGGAAGGCACAACACAGGAGTTAAATCATCTTAAGTCTATCTTTCCAGCTAAGCTGTGCTGAATGTGCTTCCACAAAACAGGCCAACTAGAGCACAAAGGGAGTCCATTGTCACAGTGAGGTTGCAAAAAGCCACATGTATTTTTGACTGCTTTATGCATCTTCCCGAATGAAGAGTAAGTCACTGCAATCCGGGATGCTTCAATTCTTTGCACATTTACTAAGTTGCAAAACGAGTGAACACCTCGATGAATGAGATTTGATCTTAGAGGGGACTATACACAGGGGAAACAAGATGTAAAAATCACAGCCAGAGGCCAGGCTTAAACTATGAGTGGAGGAAATAAACAGGAAGCGCCATGATGGTAACACTCACGTGCTAGGCACTATGCCTACAAGCTTTACAGACAAGTTTTCATCGAACCCTACAATTTTATGAAGTAGGTACTATTCGGAACTCCCTTTTGCCAATGAGAAAACTGAGGCACAGAAGGGTTAAGCAACCTGCTTAAGGTCACGCAGGGAGGTAGGTTACTGCTGAGTTGGGCCTGAAACTCGGGCTGTATGCATCCATAGCCTGGCTCTTCTCCAGGTCGTAACGCTGCTCTGTGGAAGAAGGCCTCCTTCCAGAAGGAGAAGCGTCATCAGAGGAGCTGCTGGCTCAGGGAAGCTCCTTCCCAAGGACTATACCCACTGCCAGCAGGGTCAAGAGCAGGCAAATTGGAGAAAGAACAAAACAAAACTTGATCCCTTTCTCCCCTGATTTCACTGGCAGAGAAAGAGATAAATCAGCTTTAAGACTAAGTCCTTGGCCTAGAGTCAGGATAATAAAATGCTAGGTAGTGATAAAATTTAGTCATCATGGAAGGAATTTCAGTTGAAAACTTGTCTCCTTAATTCTGACTCAAAGATGATCAGAAGGCACTTTTCTGCACTACTGGTGAGAAATTTTGCTGCAACCCTTTTAGAGGGCAATTTGGCAATGTCCATCACCATCTTAAGTGCACATACCCTCTGACCAAGCAACATAACTGCTTGGAATTTATCCTAGAGATCTACTACACAAGGACTTTCAGGAGTTGCAATACACATTGTAGCGTGGTTTGTAATAGCCCAAACAGCGAAAACGACTGAACTGCCCACCAGTGAGGGGGCTGGATAAACAGACTGTGGGTCGGAAGCATACACTGGAATCCTATGTACTGACATGGAATGCTCTCCAAGGTATATTACTGAACAAAAATGTTGAGTACAGAACAGTATGTATACTATGATCTCATTTTTTAATGTATAAATATACCTATAAATGCATTAAATTTTTCTAGATGGATACCTAAAAACTGTTTAATAGTTTCTTCTGTGGAGTGGGGCTGGAGGAAGGGTAGGAGAAAAGAAACAATTACTTTTCATTTTATATCCTTCAGAAGTGCTTGAGGTTTCTTTTTATACCATGATGAATATATATTGCCTGAATACACCTTAAGAAATGTATCAGCTTTAATTTTTTAATTGCCTTCTAAAAAAAAATCGATTTTTTTTTTTGTTCCTTATACATCTTACTATTTTTGTACCTTGTTTCCTTCGTATACCCATCCTAGACTCTTCACACCGAAAGCAGCCTGGCTGGCTGAGACATCCAGACACGTGACGGGCTGGCCGTAGACATAATGGAGGGTTCTGGCAGAGTCTTCGGCTTTTAGCAGGTATACCAGATCTCCAGCCGTGGCCACTGCCACAGGGTACCTTCCAGTATCTGGAACTATTTCAAGGTAGTCAACCTGTGAAAGGATTAGAGTTAGGTAGTCCATCAGGTCTCAACTATGGTTCATCCTGACTTGGTCAAAAATACACAGTTCTTCCTATATGTCAATAAAACCAGGAACCTAACAGAAAAAGATGGGCAAAAGGTCACAGTTCACAGGAAATGAGAACACAGTTCTTACACTAATAAAAAGTTGCTCTTTGTAAAAGAAACATGATACATTCCCGATAAGAGAAATATGAAGTAAAAATTCACCTAGATACCATTTTCACCAGTCATATCAGCAAAGATCAATTAGCCTGATAGGACACTGGTCTGGAAGTGGAGGGGGGACAACCATATTTGCGGATCCCACTTATGGCTGGTGGGATGTAATCTGGTCCAACCTCTCTAGAGGGACATTTGACAATACTTATCACAATGTCAAATGCACATGCGCTCAGAACCAGCAAGTTAGCCCTAGAAATTTACTTACAAGTAAACTCACACACATGCAAAACAACCGTGTACAAGGTTATTTACTGTAGCACTATGCTGTCTTAGCTAAAAACTGGAAAAACCTAAACATGCCTTACCAAGGGACTAATTAACAGTACATCTATGCATTGGAATACTACGCAGCCACAGGAAAAAAAAAGCACGAAGAATTCTTTATAAACTGATACAAATGGAATCATATCCAGGATACATTTGGGGGGAGAAAGCAAGGAAGCAAGGTAACAGGATTCACAGAGTGCTACTGTGCATGAAGGGGAGCCAGGGGGACCATGGGACATATGTGGCTTATGCAAGTATAAATCTGTTAACGATAGCTGCCTTCAAAAAGAGAACAGAATACTTTGACGGGGTGGAAGACAGATTTCTCCCTGTAAACCTTACTGTATCTTTTAAATTCTGAACCATAAGGGTATAATAACTATTCAAAAAATTATTTTTTTTACAAGAAACTGAATAAAATCCACTCAGTTCCAAATTAGCACCATTCACATTTTAACATTTGTGCAAATACCAAAAATGTGTTGCTAAAAGGCTAAAAGTAGCTGAGGTATCTGTCCTCTGCTGGCTTCAAGGTTATCAAGAATAGAAAGGACCCCACAGTATTCCTGACTGCATTATTGCAACCACTTTCTCTCATCTGCACGGGAATGAGGAGCTCCCTTCAGGAATAATTTGCTTTTCTATGTCCCTAAGTGGCACATGTCTCCCAAGCACAGTTTACACCAGGTTTTCACCTCGAGTGAAATGGGAGAGTACAAAAGCAGAAGGTGTGCCATGATGTGTAATTATGAAAACCACTGTGTGAAAGGCCAGCTCTGCCCTGACTATAAGCCAAACGAGTTCAAAAGCCTGCATCCTGAGGACTGTCCAGAGGAGCTTGGGAGAGAGTGAACATCCGGGGGACTGCTAATCCTCCGGCCCAAGAGTGTGAGTGGCGGCCCCACGTCCCCAGCCAATAACTCATCACAAAGAACAGACATTCTAGGCCAGTAGTACCAACTGGGGAACACTGCCATTATGATTCAGGGAGCCTATCTGGGGAAGACAAAAATGGCCCGGCTCTCACAGGCCAGGAGGTGCCTTTTTCAGTGACAGCACATTTTGTGGAAACCCCTATCCAGGATGAGAAATAACACATAAAAAGCATAACACATGCCTCCAGCAGTGGTTGCCTGCTTCCTCTCTCCCCTATTCTAAAACTCATTTCTTATTTTCCTAAAATCAACATCCTCAGTCTAGCCATTTAATTTCACTTTACTGTTGGATTTTTGACAGACCAAGAGGCTCAGATCGACTGTGGTTATGCCATTTGCCAGGAGCTGTAAACTACTTCAAAAAGCTTCCAGTCTGTGCCAGGATGCCACCTTATTGCCAAGGCAGGATTTACACTTTACAGAGGAACTCACATCCTAAGTAACTGTCTGAATTCATATAATTATTGCTCATCTAGAATGTTCTTTAGGCAGAGACCAAATAGTAAGCACTATGGTAGTTTTGAGAACAGAAAGATAGTATTTCCACATTTTTCTAATAAAACTCCAAGAGGAGGGTCAGGTAGTTTGGGGAACCACCACCCAAACTGCAGACACTACTTACTAAAGGGACCAGAAGCTTATGGAGGTGAAGTGGTGATGCCATGGCTTTTTAGTTACTCAAGCCTAACAAGATTTCCACCAGGGGGAAAAAGGGAAAAGAACAGGATCTGTTCCAGGTCAGACCATCAATTCATTATTCAACATTGGCTTTTCTGTTCACTTTCCCACGAGTGCCAAAATCAAGTTTGTTTAAATTAAATCCAAATGTAGCACAGATGTGAGCTCTTCCTTCTTACCACAAAATCATCTCCTGCCATATAAACATGGAGGCTCACATATAACTGGACTCGGAGACAGGCTCTACGTGAAGAACTCTAAAGGTTGGCCGAGCTTCACGCATGACATCCTGGAACACGGCTACCCAATTAACACTGACTTAAATTTGTTTTCACTCAGGAGTTACTCTTAATTCCAGGTGAGAAAATCTTAGGTGGAAGAAAGTGCAGGATGGTAATCTTCCTTCCCATATGGACTGGGATGATACCACTGAATTCATTTTCACTTATATAATAGGCCAGAAACCGACCTCAGATTTCCAGGGGTGAATGTCCTATTAACGTGAAGGAAGCTGAGGACCCCAGTGATGAGAAACCCTAGCCTTGAATTTAGCCATGAGGTCTGAAGCACAGCTTCTTAGCGCTGAGATCTGGGGCAAGTCAATTCTCTGCTCTAAGCCTCTATTGGCTTTCTGGCAAATGGGGAAAAGAATACTATCTATTTTGCAAGGCTGCGGTGAGATTTAGAAATGTAAGGCCCAGAGGAAGTCCTGAGTGAACGGGAGCTGCCGACATCATTACTATCTGTCTATGTTAGACCCAGAGATTCCAAGAACGGAGAATACAGTGACCAGACTTGAAAGCTTACCAGTTTCTGAACTTCAAATTCGGCAGTGATTTGCCAATATCCCTCCTCATTCGGGCGTAACATCACAACATCAAAAGCAGAAGCTGTGGCCACAACTGCGTCTTCCCGGCTGAGGGCTAGTGCCTGTATTCTGGCGTCATGTTCAAAACGATGGACAGGATACTTCCCAGTCCTTAGATCCCAAATGTTAAGAAATCCTATGTAGAAAAAAACAATGCAGATAACAATTGTAAATTCACTTAAAATGGACAATTTTAAAAACTGTTCACTATAAAGAAAACTAAAAGGTACATAAGTTTGCATCACATATAACAAAGGGCCAATTTCCTTAATAAAGATTCAATGAGGAAAAAAAGCAATTAAGAAGTGAGCAAAGGACATGAGCATCCTGGTCACAGAAAAACGAACTACGACAGATATATAAATGTAAGAAAAATGCAAAAATTCACTCACAATTAGAAAAATACAAATAAAAATGATCATAGGGTATTATTTTTCATCAATCAAATTGACAAAGATGAAAAATTTCATAAAATATTTGGTTGTTGAGGATATGGGGAAATGGGCTCTAAAACTGTTGCTGGGGATGTAAACTAACTCACCCAACTTTGGAGACAATTTGCTATTTACCAAATTACAAATGTATTTAGGACAGTCACTGTAATGTCTTTAATTATGCCAAAAGATTAGAAGCTATCTAAATGCCCACCATAGTATGGAATTTAAATAAAATGACAAGACTGAGTCAGCCTTATGTATAAGCTATATGAAATGATCAACAAAATATTACACACATATACATTTATGAGGACTTCTTTGTGTATGGAAGGATACACAAGAAACTTTATTAATACTGGCCTTGAAGGAAAGAAACCAAAAAGAAGAGACAAGAGTAGGAGGGCATTTTATTGCATATCATTTGTATATTCTGAAGATTTTCCCCAAAATTATTTTTACCAAAAATATAAATTTTAGAAAATGTTTTTATGAGACTTAAAAAGAATGGAAGGACATATATCAATTGCTGAATGTTTTTTAAGATTTTATTTATTTTAGAGAGAGAGAGCATGTGAGCAGGGGGAGAGATTGAGAGAATCTCAGACTCCCCGTGGAGCGCAGAGCCCAACACTGAGCTACCCAGGCTCCCCGTGAATATTTCTAACATATGGAAAATTTTTAAAAGATTTTATATTTATTTGACACAGAGAGAGAGAGCACAAGCAGGGGGAGCGGCAGGCAGAGGGAGAGGCAGAAGCAGGCTCCCTGAGGAGCAGGGAGCCCGACGTGGGGCTCGATCCCAGGAGCCTGGGATCATGACCTGAGGTAAAGGCAGATGCTTAACCGACAGCCACCCAGGTGCCCCTAATGTATGGAACTCTTAATTCATTCTCCTAATTGTCCATTCACGCAACAATTATTTCCCAGTATTATTGATACAACTGACATATAACTTTGTATCAGTTTAAGTTGTGCAACATAATGATTTGACATATGCATTTATTGTGAAATGATCAAAGTTCATCCATCACCTCACATAGTTAACAAATTTCTTTTTTTTATTACATTATGTTAGTCACCATAGAGTACATCATTAGTTTTTGATGTAGTGTTCCATGATTCATTGTTTGTGCATAACACCCAGTGCTCCATGCAACACGTGCCCTCCTTAATACCCATCACCGGGCTCATCCATCCCCCCACCCCCCTCCCCTCTGAAACCCTCAGTTTGTTTCTCGGAGTCCATCGTCTCTCATGGTTCGTCTTTCCCTCCAATTCCCCCCCTTCATTTTCCCCTTCCTTCTCCTACTGTCCTCCACACTATTCCTTACGTTCCACAAATAAGTGAAACCATATGATAATTGACTTTCTCTGCCTGACTTATTGCACTTAGCATCATCTCCTCCAGTCCCATCCATGTGGATGCCAAAGTTGGGTATTCATCCTTTCTGATGGCTGAGTAATAGTCCGTTGTATACACGGACCACATCTTTTTCCATTCGTCTGTTGAAGGGCATCTCGGATCTTTCCACAGTTTGGCTACTGTGGACATTGCTGCTGTGAACATTGGGGTGCATAGGGCCCTTCTTTTCACTACATCTGTGTCTCTGGGGTAAATACCCAGGAGTGCAATTGCTGGGTCATAGGGTAGCTCTATTTTTAATTTTTTGAGGAACCTCCACACTGTTTTCCAAAGTGACTGTACCAATTTGCATTCGCACCAACAGTGTAAGAGGGTTCCCCTTTCTCCACAACCTCTCCAACATTTGTTGTTTCTTGCCTTGTCAATTTTTGCCATTCTAACTGGTGTAAGGTGGTATCTCAATGTGGTTTTGATTTAAATTTCCCTGATGGCTAATGATGATGAACATTTTTTCATGTGTCAGCCATTAGTCTTCTTTGGAGAAGTGTCTGTTCATGTCTTCTGCCCATTTTTTGACTGGGTTATTTGTTTTTTGAGTGTTGAGTTTGAGAAGTTCTTTACAGATCTTGGATACCAGCCCTTTGTAGTGTCATTTGCAAATATCTTTTTCCGTTCCGTGGGTTGCCTCTTTGTTCTGTTGACCGTTTCCTTTGCTGTGCAGAAGCTTTTTATCTTGATGAAGTCCCAACAAATTTCTCTTATGAGAACTTTTAAGATCTACTCTCACCAACTTGCAAACATACAATACAGTATTAATGATAGTCATCATGTTGTATAATAGATCCCCAGAGCTTACCTATAACTGGACGTTTGTACACCTTTTGACCACCTTTACCCATTTCCCCTACCTCCACCCCAGGAATCACAAATCTGTTCTGAGTTTGTTTTTTAGATTCCACGTGAGTGAGATGATATGCTATTTGTTTTTGCTGACTTATTTCACTTAGCATAATGCCCTCAGGGTTCACCCATATTGTTGCAAATAGCAGGATTTCCTTCTTTTTACGGCTGAATAGTATTCCATTGTAGATAAATACCAAATTTTCCTTATCCATCTGTCAATAGACATGTAGGCTGTTCCCATGTCTCTGCTACTGTGAATAACGCTGCAGTGCACATGGCGGTATAGACAGCTCTTTGGGATAGTGATTTCATTTCCTTTGGACAAATACCCAGAAGTGGAACTGCTGGCTCATCTGGTGGTTATTTTTTTGAGGAACCAACATGTTGTTTCCCACAGTGGCTGCACCAATTTCTGTTTCCACCAGCAGTGCATCAGGGATCCTTTCTCTCCACATTCTCACCAGAATTTGTCATCACTTGTCTTCGATGACAGCCACTCTAACAGGTGTGAGACATCGTGCAAACAATTACTGAGCATGTTATAGACAGGGCACTGCTCTAGATGCCAACCAGATCTCAAAACTGCCATTAGCCTACACTCTATGAGGTTCTTGCATTTCATCCTTCCGCATACCACCCTCTTCCAGCCACAGGGAGCAGGGGTGCTTTCTTTCGCATCGTTGTAAAACATAAGCTTGACTACCCCACGCTTGTTAAAAACCTTGATTTCTACCTATACACCCTTCTCTCCAGCTCCCTGAATGCTGCTAGCCAGAGGAATTCCTCTTACACACACTGGCCACGTCTCCACCTCCCTCAAATGGTCTAGAGTGGTGATATCCAAGTGTGGTGCCCCCAGGCCCCTAGCAGCAGCTGCAGTGCCATGGGGGAGGGGGGTGCTTGTTAGAAATGCAGACTTGGGGGCAACAGAAACTCTGGGGATATGCTCTCAAGCCTGAGCACCAGTCATCTTCAGGAACTTACACTTTTCTATCAGAAATAAAAACTTTTAGGGTGCCTGGGAGGCTCAAACGGTTAGACATCTGCCTTGGGCTCAGGTCATGATCCCAGGGTCCTGGGCTCAGTCTCCACATCGGGCTCCCTGCTCAGCAGGGAGTCTGCTTCTCCCTCTGCCTTTCCCCTGGCTTGTGCTCTCTCTCTCAAATAAATAAAAACCTTTTTTTTTTTAAAGAAAGAAATATGAACTTTTGGGGTGCCTGGGTGGCTCAGTCAGTTAAATGTCTGACTTGATTTCGGCTCAGGTCATGATCTCACGGTTGGGAGATTGAGCCTGTGTTGGGCTCCATGCTCAGTGGGGAGTCTGCCTAAGATTCTCTCTCCCTCTGCCCCTCCTCATACTCACGCTCTAAAATAAATCAATCAATCTTAAAAAAAAAAAAAAAAGAATTATAAACTTTTGTTTTCTGTATTTGGGGTGCCATTTATTCTTTTCTCGCTAAAAAATTTCTTTTTATCATTCCTACCCACTTCTTTCCCCTCAAAGATTTACCCAAGAAAATAATTACTGTCTGCATCATGTTGGATAATGTCCTGCTGCAATTCCCACTAATTTTTCAAAATTCACCGAGAAACGACTGTACGGATATAACACAATCTGTGCTTATTTGAGTTCAAATCCAGCTCTACGACTTGCTAGCTGAAGGCCTTGGGCAAGTTACTTGAAGCTGTGAGCCTGTCTCCTCATCTGTAAAACTGAAGAGAACACTGCCTACTACACAGGACTGTCATGCAGATCAAAGGAGAAAAACCACACAAAAGGCTGGAGATAGGCCAACCAGTTTTACATTTTTTTTAAAGATTCTATTTATTTATTTGACAGAGAGGCACAGCGAGAGAGGGCACACCCGCAGGGGGAGCGGGAGAGGGAGCAGCAGGCTCCCTGCGACATGGGGCTGGATCCCAGGAGCCTGGGGTCACGGCCTGAGCGGAAGGCAGCCGCTCAACGACTGAGCCGCCCAGGCGCCCTTACCTTATATTTTATGTGTCCTATTGGGCCTGCCATGTTGTTAAGTATATTTAATCTATTAATAACGCAAATTTCCTCTGTTGGTCATCCAAAATCCTCTCCTAGTTCCCATAACTTCCTATTATCCAAAGCAGATAAAGCTTTTTCACTTTTCTTCTCTTTGCAGTCCATCTTCCCATCTTTCTTGTTTCTTGCCTTGTGCTTTGTCTGTAAATGGCACATGCTTTGAACTTAGGATCTTAGGATAAAGCATCATTCAGCACTAGATAAATACAGGCAGAAGAAAATCATACATGTGGGCTGCTCTGCAAGACTTTTGAACTGCCAGTAGGCTAAGTAGGTGATCCCAAACAAAAGCAGAGCTTTCTTCAAGTTAAATGTTGCTTCAGACATAAAACAGTGTTCTTTTCTAAGAATTGTGATAAACTCAGGGGATAAGCAGATCA